AGAGCAGCGGTGCGGGTTGGTGAGAAAGCGTGTGAGGTGTGCGGACGACGGGTGAGGAGATACGGCGTGCGTAGAAGCGAGGAGGGCGTGGGGAGGGCGTGGGGAGGGCGCGGGGAGGGCGGGGGGAGGGCGGGGGGAGGCCTTGATCCGTTGACTGAAGAGGGGTTGGCCTGGAGCTCAACGGTGGACGGGTGAGGAGGGAGGCGGTTGATGATGGTGTACGTTCCGAGATGCAAAATCTGGATTCGTAGTTGTAATGCTGTACACAGAGCTCCCCGACGTACACGTCACACCAATTGTAGCCTTCGAATGCACCCTCGTTGGGACGGCACTCGCTCCGTTTCAGGTGACAGTGTCCACCCCCTGAGCTGTCGACCACCCCTAGTACAGAACGGTGTGGTGGAGATGAGTAGACGGGTACCGCAGTTGTCATTCTGCTGGTTCAATCGATACTGCGCGAATCTATTTAATTTGAATGCGAACTTGCACTCCTGAAACGCCATTTCGAGCAACTTACTTGTTCAAGCGCGAGCACGATCAATGGATCAAATCTTCTCCATCCGTGCGCGCTATGAAGAATGAGTGCCCAGGCCGGTCCTCGGCTGAGTACTGAGTGATACGGGACACACATTGAAACTTGACTTTGTCGCTCTGCGGCAACGGCTCCGCCTACACCTGATCGGACCTGATCAACCCTGGTAGGGTACACATAGAACACGTACGCCTACGTGTAAAGCACCGCCGCGGCGCACCTTATGTACACGTATGCCACATCACGGCTCGGCCCTATCATGTCCCACCCAAATGTGATTCTTTAACGCCCGTCCTGTGGTATAGCATCGGCTCCCCCTGAAAGTTAGAAAAATAAAGGTCCATTTATGTACACGAGACAAGAAAGTTAGAAAAAATAAACTTGTCTTATGTACACATCGTCAGGTCCCACGACCCAGAGTAAAGGAGAGAGGAAGAAGAAGCATCGTCTCTGCGTGTCGCTGAGTGCTTGCTGTGCACCAGCTGGTTGAACTAATTGAACTGCACATACCTTCGAACTTCGAAGGTCGAAGTTCGAAGGTATCACATGAATTTGCAGTTGAATTAGTTCAGACCTGCGCACAGTTTTGAGTCGTGCATCTTGCAAGATGCATGTCTCAAATCGGGTTCCATGATACTGTAGGTCGAAACTGTAACCCGAATTCTACACGTGTACTGCACTAACCTTGCCACGATCTGGAGCGCTTCGGAGCCCGGATCGGATTTGCAATCTAGTTACAGTAGCTCGAAATACCATAACGTGTCCACGTCGTGGCTTGTGCTGGCTTTTGTCTGGAGAGCGTGCAGTACACTCTCACCAGTACATGGCAATCCATCTCATCTGATCTACCCCTACTCAAGCACAAGCACACTCTACTGAGACGCCAAAACGATAGATTACCCCGCTAGGATCACATGCACAGGCCCGAGCAAACACATTTGCCACACCATCCCCGACAAACCCGCCCTGCCCCTGCCATGTCGTCGACGCGTCGTTTCCGCCCGTGCCATCTGTTCCGCATCAACCCCGTCAACCTGGACACGCTCACCGAAACCTACAACCTCAACTTTTACTTCCAGTACATGCTCCGCTGGCCCGAGTTCCAGCAGGTCGTCACGGCCCCGGACGCCACCATCATGGCCTACGTCATCGGCAAGACAGAGGGCGAGGGCAACCTGTGGCACGGCCATGTGTCCGCCGTCACTGTCGCCCCCGAGTATCGCCGCCTCGGCCTCGCCTCCAAGCTCATGACCTTTACAGAGACACTCTCCCAGGATACATACAACGCCTTCTTCGTCGACTTGTTTGTCAGAAAATCAAACTCTTTGGCGATTGCGATGTACAAACAGATGGGTTATATCGTTTATCGAACCATTTTGAATTACTATGGCGGCAGCGAAGACGCCTATGATATGAGAAAGGCATTGACCCGCGACCAAGAAAAAAAGTCAATGATACCGCTTGCACATCCTGTCAAGGCACACGATTTTCTTATCAGCATGTGAGCGTGCCCTCTCCTTCTTCTAACTTTAATTTGCATCAGAGCCTTACTAGCCGTCTTGCCAATCGTACACCACGTGCCCCAGACTTTGTGAAATCGTGCATCAACACACCATACATAGTAACACTGCCCGCAATCGACTAGATTACATTTATTTCCATAGTCTGCGCAACGACTCGTTTGCCTCGCGGTCCTTCCTCATCACCTTCGCCACTGCCAACTCAAAGTCCTCCTGCTGCACGTAGAGCCTTCTTTCCCGCAACGCAAACATTCCAGCTTCCGTGCACACCGACTTGGTCTCAGCTCCGGATGCCCCCGTCATCTTCCCAGCGATCTTGGCAAGGTCAATCCCACGCACTAGATTCATCTTCCGCGAATGAATCTTCAAAATCTGCTTCCGCGCCTCTTCGTTCGGTGGCGGAAATTCGATCTTTCTATCAATTCGTCCCGGCCGGAGAAGAGCTGAATCCAAAATGTCCAGTCTGTTTGTCGCCATCAACACCTTGATGTTTTTCGTCGCCTCGAATCCATCAAGCTGATTGAGAAGCTCCAGCATCGTTCTCTGCACCTCCGAATCTCCTCCTCCGCTTCCGCCGCCGTTCATCCTCGTCGAACCAATGGAATCGATCTCGTCCATGAAAATGATAGACGGCGCATGCTCACGCGCCATAACGAAAAGCTCGCGGACCATCCGGCTTCCTTCTCCGATATACTTTTGCACGAGCTCCGATCCAGAAACACGAATAAACGTACATTTGGTGTGATGTGCCACCGCCCGCGCTAGGAGAGTCTTTCCAGTCCCTGGGGGCCCATACAAAAGAACTCCCTTCGGCTGAGCAATGCCGAGTGCGTCGAACAATTCAGGATGCAAAACAGGGAGCTCGATAACTTCGCGGATCGCCTTAAGCTGCTCATCTAACCCTCCAATCATCTCGTATGTGGAATCAGGCACGTTCTCAACCCTCATCAGCGACACGAGCGGGTCGACCTTGCTCGGGAGCACCTTATGCAACGTGTATGAATCGTTCTGGAGAGCTACACGTGCAGTGGAGGAGAGCTTCGTAATGTCGATGGACTTGTCAAAATCGACGACATACTTGCCCTCAGGATGGACCTTGACCAGGACCTTGAGCTTGCCCATGACCTTGACCACTTCGCCGACGGAACTGCCAGGTTCCTGCAGCAGTTGAAGCTCCTCCCGAAGGCTTCGTACCTTTGAATTGAGTTCATTGCGTTGGGCTTGTAAGCGGCGCAGGTTTTCTTGCTTCTCGCGAATCTTGCTCTCCAGTTGATCCATCTTGGTCTGATAGTATGAACGCAGGCCGATATTCAACCCGCTCGCCATCACAGGGGGGACGCCTTTGGCGACTGGATCTGCAGATGACATTCCGGTGGGCGCTTGCGGTGACGCTGATAGAGCCTAATGGGTTTGAGACGGCCTATCGGTATGAGGGATTGGATTGACGAAGTTGAGCCCTACGCTGAGAGAGAACAGCATAGACGAATGTGGAAGGCAATCCGGTCGCTCGCCCTCCAATTTCCAGAAAAAGTTTCGGCCCAAAAATGGCGAACTTCATACACGTGTGACCAGTGTCATGTGTGAGTGACGAAAGGGAAAGCAGGTTTGCCAGCAAGGGCCCGCAACCGTCCCATAAAACAACCTGGCATATTCAAGAGAAGGAGCTCCTTCGATGTCTTCAATCGCTGGCTCGTGGTACATGCTTGACAGACCGCACACGTGTACATCCAATGGAATCAGTATAAGTAGCATGTAGTGGAACCCAACACAGGAGGTAAAAGGTGTCATCGTTCCCACAGGTTATGCGCCCATACGCTCGCGATCCCCTTCCTCTTTACCAACCGACGTCCTCGCCTTTCCAGCACACCTACCATCAACCTATCGACCACGCTCACCTCACTTTCTTACCACCCACGCAGCCTCCGACGCCAAAAGCTCCATTCCCAAACAGCCACCACGACGTCCCCTACCGACAGACTCCTCCGCCTCCGCCGCCGCCACGATCAAGCAGAAGCACAAGCTTCCATCCAAGAGCTACTCCGACTCGCCCAACTCACACAATCAGACAAACACACACCCTCAGACACAACAACACACACCATGGACCATATCCCGAAAATACAACTTCCCACCCTTGACCCCGACAACCATAACACGTGGAATCTAGCACTCCGTGCCCAAGCCGCAGCCATGGATGCACTAGAACACATTACGTCCAATCCGACTCCTCCAACCGATCCTGCCCTCCTTAAAACGCATATTCGACACAAGAACATTATTCTCGCATCGATTCTCTCCTCAGTCCCGACATCCATCCTCAATCTCATCATTCAGCCTGATTCCGATCCCTCTCCCCACGACTTACTCCAAACCATTCATGCCCACCTCCTCACCAACACGTCCAACGACCATAAATTTCTAAGAGCCCAAGCTGAAGCCACAATACTCACCCCCGACATGTCCATCAACGAGTATATCACCGCACACGAAGCCATCAGATCTAAAATGATCGCATCCCGTTACCCCGACATCAGCAACCAAGCCACGACCGTGGAATTTTTAATCGATGGCATGCGCCACCACCCCATGACTGCCGAAATTGGCCGACAGCTGCTCAGCCTCAACCCCTCAACAGTCAAAGACTACCTACACAAATACATTCGACTCCAAAACTATAATAACACCACCCAACCGATCATCACATCACCGCAAGGCATGCAGCACGGGCCTCCAACGTACCCATACCCACAGCAACACGCACCGTACCAACGTCAACCATACCGCCAACCCCGCACCTGGAATCGTACACCCCTCCCACCCCACCCCAATCCATGTCAATTCCACGTCGCGCGCGGCACCCGCCCTCAGCACTCAGACGCAGAGTGCAATCACCCGGCACACCCACGCCACCGCACTACCCCACAAACGCAAGAACACCACAACAACAATACAAACTCCACCACCCATCACCACGCAACCAACACCCTCAATCCCTCCGAGAACTCCCACCGCCACCCTACCCACACCGAACCGCATACACCCTCCTCACCTATCCCACTACCACAACCCGACACCGCCGAAACCTAACACT